TGATGAGGTATCACTTCACACTTCTCAGAATGGCCTTTATCCAAAAATCTACAAACAATAAATGCCAGAGAGGGTGTGGAAAGAAAAGAACCTTTCTATACTGTTGGTGGGAATGTAAATTGGTACAACCACTATGGAGAATAGTATGTAGGTTCCTTAAAAAACTAGAACTAGAACTACCAAATGACCCAGCAACCCAACTCCGAGGCATATATCACAGAAAACTATAATTCAAAAGGATGCATGCACCCTGATGTTCGTTGCAGCACTATTTACAATAACCAGGACATGGAAGCCACCTAAACGTCCATCGAGAGAGGAATGGATAAAGATGTGGTACATAATACAATGGACTATTACTCAGCCATGTAAAGGAATGAAATACTGCCATTTGCAAAGATATGGGTGGACCCAGAGGTCATCTTACTGAGTGAATTAAGCCTGAAAGAGAAAAACAAATACCATATCTGAAAGAGAAAAACAAATACCATATAATATCACTTATATGTGGAATCTAGAAAAATGGTAGAAATGAACTATTTGCAAAGCAGAAATAGAATCACAGATGTAGAGAGGAAACTTATGGTTACAAAGGGAAGATGGGGGGTAGGAATGAATTAGGAGACTGGGGTTGACATATACACACTACTATGTATAAAACATAACTAGTGAGAACCTACTATATAGCACAGAGAGCTCTACCCAGCACTCTGTGATGAACTAAATGGTAAGGAAATCTAAAAAAGAGGGGAGTATATGTATACGTATGACTGATTCACTTTGTTGTACTGTAAATACTAACACAACATTGTAAAGCAAATATATTTCAATAAAAAGAAAAAAATAAATGTGTGAATTCTTTATGCCTAAACTCTAATTTTTTCTAGAAATATGTTTCTTTCATATGTATTTCCTATCTAGGATAATTATATAAGTACATAATAACAAACATTTATTAATCTTCACTTTCAGAATAAAACATGAGAATAAGCATGAGTGATTTAATTGTTTAGAAAAATGTGAATATTATATGAATTATCTTAATATAAGAAGTATAGTAGAAAGAAGTTGGGTTATAAATGAAATGTAGGACAGAAGCAATAAGAGGCAGAAGAGAGGATAAGAGTGGATATTTCTTCATCATACAGAGTGAGAAGTTGAGATAAAACTAATATACATATAACAATATACATTTTATAGATAAGAAATGTTATTGAGGCCTATAAATATAAACAATAAAATCATAAAATAGGAAAACATGGAAGAAAAAGTAATATAAATGCCCTATATTCTCATTTGCAGGAAAAGCCAATAAATCATATCTCATAAAGTATATTGCTTAGAGACATAGAGATAATCACAAGGAATGATATCAGACAAAGTTAGAAGTATTTACCTGCCTCTCCTTTGTGGAGGTAAGGATTGTTTTTCATAATTTTTAAACTACTCAGTGGGTTTTAGTTTGCTATTTCCCTATTTTACACACCCAAACACACACACACACACACACACACACACACACACACACAGATATGTAAAATATAGTACATGCCAGTTGTAATATATTAGCACTTTTATATATGAGGAAAACATATGTGTGTATGTGTTAATGTTGTCTGAATCAAATTTCCTAGGAATACTGTAGTATCTTTCAACCTGTAAACTTAAGTTTAGTATTATGTATGGAAAATGTTTTTGATTTAGATTTTAAATATTAGTTGTTGCATTATTTCTTCATTCTTCAAAGGGAGTCTTGCCACCATTTCAAGCTTTTCTTCCTCTTTTCTTCCTTTTTTCTTAAAAATCTTTATCTCATAGTCATTCTCTTGCTTAATCTCCTGCTTGTCTTCCCCTTATGGAATTTTTAATTGAATCTATTTTCTTTGGACACTAAAATTTTTCAACTTTTAGACATTTTTATCCATTAATTTCCTCCCTAAGTCTTATTAACTCATTGCATTTCTCATTTCCCTTTTCTCTCTTAAAATTTATCTTAGTTTTTGGTTTTATGAATCCAAGTTTTAAATATGCATCTTCAACTCTTTAGTTTTTGAATTGCACTTTAGTTTGCAGTATTGTGTTGCAGTTTTATTTGTGTTTTGTATTTGTTTTCTAGATGTGAGTTTTCTATCAACTAAATTGTTCTGATGCTGTTTTTTCAGCTTTATTACAGCATAATTGACAAAAATCCATTTACAGTGTACAATGTGATGATTTGATATATCTATACACTGTGAAATGATTACAACAATCAACTTAATTAGCACATCCATTATCTTACATGATTACCGTTTTTTTTGGTTTTTTTTTGCATGAGAACTCTTAAGATTTACTCTCAGCAAATTTCAGTATCAATATTTATGGTCAACATGCTATATATTAGATCTTCAGAGATCATTCATCTTAAAAATGAAAGTTTGTAATCATCGACCAACATCTCTCCATTTCCCCTACTCCTCAAACCCCACCATTCCACTCTCTAATTTTTTTTAAGATTCTACATATAAATTTATAAATTATAATAGTATTTATCTTTCACTGTGTGACTTATTTTACTTAACATAATGCCCCCCAGAGTCATCCATGTGTCCCAAATGGCAGGGGTAGGGTTTCCTTTATTATAACTAAAAGAATCCATACATATCATTTATTTAAATGTACAATATATACAAATTTATTTTTATATACCATGTTTTCTCTATCTATTCATTCATTGATGGACACTAAGATTGTTTCCATATCTTGACTACTGTGAATAATGAATGCTACAGTGAACATGGGAACAATAGTATCTTCTAAAAGTAATTATTTCATTTCCTTTGCATATGTACCCAGAAGTATGCTCATTTTCTATGTCTCATTACGTAGCTTTGTATGTCATTGATCTGAATCTTCTTCATTTTAGGCAGGGCTCCTAGACAACAGCACTATCTTTAAATCATTACTGTGAAGTATATACTATCCTAGGCATTCCCTGGTGGCTCAGAAGGTAAAGAATCCACCTGCAATGCAGTAGACTTGGGTTTGATCCCAGGGTTGTGAAGATCCCATAGAGGAGGGCATGGAAACCCACTCCAGTACTCTTGTTTAGAGAATAGTCAAGGAGAGAGGTGCCTGGCAGGCTATAGTCCATGAGGTTGCAAAGAGTCGGACACAACTGAGTGACTAATCACACTTACTTTCCTTAGTGGGTAGCATTAAGGTGGTGGTGTTTGGAAGGGGAAAGGTTGACATATACTGTGATTCTCTTTCATTTCTCTAGGTTATTTCCTGTTTATGTCCATATATACCTATATGTGTATAAATGTATATATATTTGTCCATTCTTCTACTAGGAAACTTAAAATTTTTAATATCTGTAATAATTCATCATATATAAATGACATCAATATTCTGTTATTTTCTGTTACAGATGTTTAATCAATTCTTCATTTATATTTCAGTATGGTTTAGGACATTCTATAGATACTTAGAACCTTTAATGTTATTCAATTTCATAATCCATTTTTATGAGGTGTTTGTGCATAATGCTTAGAAAACTTTTCTTAGGCTTAACTTGAGTGAATATTCATGAATATTTTCCATTTATTATTATTTTTAAATTACATTTATGTCATTACTCCATCTAAAAGTTATTTTTATGTTTAATGTATGCAATATAAATGAATAGTTTTATAAGTATACTAGGTCTGCTTCAGAATATTTTGTTCTGTGGCTTTTATAATTACATCAAGACTAAATTATTTTAATTGTTCTAGTTTTGTTCATTTAGTAACTGGTAAGGCAAGCACTCTATACATAACAGTTCTTTGGCTAGTTCTATAAAATAATATTTTGAAGCTACAGTCACCCTGTTTATTTAACTTATATGCAGAGTATATTATGCAAAAAGCCAGGCTAGATGAATCACAAGCTGGAATCAAGATTGCTGGGAGAAATAGCAACAACCTCAGATACGCATATGACACACTCCAATGATAGAAAGTAAAGCGGAACTAAAGACCCTCTTGATGAGGGTGAAAGAAGGGAGTGAAAAAGCTGGCTTTAACTCAACATTCAAAAAACTAAGGTCATGGCACCCAGTCCCATCACTTCATGGCCAAGAGATGGGGAAAAAGTAGAAGCATTGATGGATTTTATTTTCTTCGGCTCTAAAATCACTGCAGATGGTTACTGCAGCCATGAAATAAAAAGATGCTTGCTCCTTGGAAGAAAAGCTATGATAAATCTAGACAGAATATTAGAAAGAAGAGTCATCATGTTGCCAACAAATGTCCATACAATGAAAGCTATGGTTTTTCCAGTAGCTTTTGAAGCTGAAACTCCAAAACTTTGGCCACCTGATGCAAAGAGCTGACTCAATGGAAAATACCCTGATGCTGGGAAAGACTGAAGACAGGAGGGGAAGAGGGCAACAGAAGATGAGATGGTTAGATTGCATCACTGACTCAATAGATATGAGTTTGAACAAACTTTGTGAGATGGTAAGGGACAGGTAAGCCTGACATGCTGCAGTCCATGAGGTGGCAAAAAGTCAGGTGTGACTTAGCGACTGAACATAAGAAACATGTTCATTATTTCTAGAATATGTACACAATGAACAATTCCTTCAAGTACATCATTAAGTCTTTGTAATATCAAATATATCTGGGTGATATCTTCGTATGTAGCTATGAAAATCAATCATTCAGAGAGCTCCAATAGAAATCATAACTTGATTTACCATTTTTTTTAAAAGCTAGTATAATACACAAAGAAGGTCTTTGAGAGTGAAGACATAAAGTGTTCTAAAATTGTTCTTCAGGTGTTTATGAGAAACTCTGCCTCATTTATTTATCAAAACCTCTAGAAACTACTTATAACTTTCTAATTCCTCATCATTTACTTTTCCCATACCACTTAATTTTTAGCATCTGACACTAGGAAAAACTAGAAGTTTCACTAATTTGACAAATGTTTCTAATATGATAAATATTACACACTAATTCCCACATAATTACCTTGTGAAGTCTGTCATCTCCATCATGATCATACACATCTTCTTGGCCAGAACAATGATATCATTGCTCGTATCATCCCATATCTCAATTTCAGCATCCAGCTTGCTCTTCACTTTCTTGAAGTCAGCAACTTGCTCAGCAATCTTTTCCTTTTCTGCCTCAGGCAATTGAGTCATCTTAGCCTAAAACAGGTGATAATTAGGTTTATAATCACTCCATTATGTCAAATACATTTTACAAAGAAGTGATTACTATCAGATGTTTATAGAACTTGCTCCTTTAAGAACAGAGACATAATGAATGCTTTATTGTTTTAAATTTATTTTTAATAGAAGGATAATTGCTTTACAACACTGTGTCGGCTTTTGCCATACATCAGCATGAGTCAGCCATAAAGTCATATAACAAAACTATCCAGGTTTAACTATTTGTATAAAAATCTATTGAATCATAATTGCTTGCAACAATGCTAGAATGCAAAATTACAGTATTAGAACTACAACATTAAATTTATGAATATCAAAGTATAATTTAATATATGACATATTTAAATATATTCCTTAATATAAATGTAGGACTTCCCAAATTTTGAATGTATTACAAATTAATTCAAACATAATTTAATGCCTCATATGTTAGACAAGTATATACCTCTTTAAATTATACTAATAGTATGCCTCAAATGTAGAAATAAAAAAAAATTCTTGAAATGAGACAATGTATATCTATGTATATATTTACATTAATAGATGGAATTAACTATGAACACAATACACATTGGTAAACAGCACAGTGTACATTTAAAAATCATATGTATATAGAGAAGCACATTTATAAAATTCTAAGGACTAATGTGTATATGGTACATATAAACATATTCAGGTGTGTATGTGTACACAAACCATCTGAGGGAAGAATAAAAATGTTATAGGCAAGGTTTGCTAAGGCAGCCCTCCCTAATTAGCATCCTGAGATTTGAGGTGTAAATTCTTATTCACAGTGAACTTAATGCACTGGTGTAGTACTATTCTTTGTATATGCCATATTTTGAACAGTATGCAGACTTGCCTCTGCATTTGAAATTTGAGATGTGGGATCATAGTAAACCATCCACACTGGTGTGATGTGTCCTTAGTCACCTAGTTGTGTCTGACTCTTTGTGACTCTATGCACCGTAGTCTGCCAGGCTCCTCTGTCCATTGGGATTCTCCAGGCAAGAATATTGGAGTGGGTTGCCATGCCGTCTTCCAGGGTATCTCCCCAATCTGGCGATCAAACCCAGGTCTCCCTCATTGCAGGCAAAATCTCTACCCTCTAAACCACCAGGAAAGCCCACCATACAACTATACTACCATATAAACTATTATAGCACCTGAAACCTATGACTTTTTTTCAAATAAAGAAGAACTCTGAAATGAAAGTGATTTGATAATATTAATCAAGATCATAAAATTTCATGAGATTGTCTACTTAATCATCTTGTCAAAAAAGAAATTCATACATAATCAAAAAGTAGAACAAGCACATAGGTTTGAAACAGAACATTTATAAATGATAAATGCTATATAAGTGGAATTTTATTGATTATTCACAGGAAATATATGATAGCTACAATTCCTGTGCATTTCCAGACGTTCATTTCTACTTTATCTATTGATGGCAAAATTGGAAGATATAATCTAGAAAGCTTTGCAAAAGTATGATTTACTAGATTCAGAATACTGAAAATACATTTTATTGAGGCAATAGTGTATAAGAACAATGAAACTAAAACATATTAATGGAAAATTATAGCAATGATCAATGGAAAATATAACAAAAAATAAAAATCACAGAACCAATGTCAATTATCTGTCATTTATTACCAATCAGAGGCCTAATTTAGGGTCTAAAATAACTTGGTATTTTAAAATTTTCAGGATTAATCATCCATACTTCAGTTAGCACAAGGCTTGATACATATTGAGTGTACAGTAAATGATAGTTCCTTCTTTATTTCTTTTATTTTTTAACCATACCGCGCATCATGTGGGATCTTAGTTTGCTGACCAGGGATTGAACCCACTACTGCTGTGGAAGCTCAGAGATGTCACCAGTGGGTGGCCAGGGAAGTTCAATAGTTATTTCTTATTCAATGAAAATATAATCACATATCTAGCACTTAAATTTGCTTTGTTTTCCTTATTTATTTCAGGAACTAAATTAAGCTTTGGGACTAAACTTTTGATTGGTGAGTGTATAGATGACTCTTCCTTAGGAGGTGAAAATAGATTATAGTTTCTTTTCTCAGGAAATATGGCCTATGTGATACCTTAGAAGAAGAGCAACTTTTACTGCTGCTGGCATGTGGCAAAGTATGTAAATAAACACAGCTACCTTTTAAATCAATGGTATACAAGCCATTAATAAAGCTGTAAGGTACTAACCCACTAAACTAACTGAAAAATAGAATGAATTTTTCTTTCTTCACTACCAGTCATTATCATTCTCCCCATTTTCATAAAAAGGTAATTAAAGTTTCAAATAATAAAGCCATAGATCAATTTATTTGGGACCTCTTTTTATAGTCTTTATCTCAGAGATAATAAATGCATGACTCTAGGATCTAAGAAATAATGTTGAAGTGTATTCTGGCATATGGTGGAAACATTTTCACTGTCTTCATGATAAAGTTCAAACTATTCTAGAGGTGATCTGATTAAGTGTATTCCAAGTTCTGTTGCTTGGAATGTCACTAATTTCCAATATGATCTTGAGGAAGTCACTTAACTCTCCTGTCTACATTTCCCAAGACACAAAACGACAATAATTGCAACTGCTATCCACCTGACATACAGGAAACAGAGTCAATTATTCGATAGCATTGAGACTGACCCTGTCCTGGACAAAAATTTCATGGATTGCACTCAATTTCCTTAATAACATCTCAACTCACATGGTGAATTACAATTGGCAGATATTTACTCCTGACAAGATAAAGGCCAAAAGTCAGGCAATAGTTTATAAAATTAAAAGTTCTGAAGAATTCTGACCTTTTTTATTACATGAGGAAAAACAAGAACAAAAAAGCATTAAATTACTGAGTGACACCTTTATTGAAGATTTTGGTGCTTCTGTAAATGGCTTATTATATGCCATCAATCAATTTCAATTATTATGAAAATATCAAAGTAGAACTTGAGAGAATATTTGATATTTAGGAATTCTGGGTGAAAGTTCCTTATTGGATTATATTTTTGCAGGATAAACAAAGAACTGAGGTACAAAGTTCAAGATAAATCAAGTAAGTGGAATCTTTGACATTATTGCTGGCTGGCTAAGTGGTTTTACTCCTGCTCAAATATATAGAATACAACTCTGATATAAAGAGTTATTAAAGGCTTTTTGAATCCCTACCATCCAAATGATATTACATTGTATGTTAACTGATTAAAACATGTATTCCAAAAGACAGTGAAAATAACATTTATATATGCTAAATACTCTTCTAGCCAAGTTAACATATATTTAAAATTTAATCATCATAGCAGCCCTATGAGGTAAGAACATTCTTACTCTAATATTATGGATTATGAAACTGAGTCTCTAAAAGTTTATGTGGTTTACTCAACATTGTAGTGTTAGTAAATGGTAGAACCAGGATGAAAACCCAGAAGCTCTAGCTCTAGAGTTTTCATTCTATCACTGCGCCTGCAAATGAGAGGAATACCACCCACCAAATACCAAAATATCTACCTTCTCCTCAATGGTATTTCTCTATCACCTTCTATTTCTGAAATGCTTATTCTCCATAATATGTCTCATATATTTTAAAATCAAAGTTTTCTTATTTGTAAACTAGAAAAAGTGATATTGACTGAACAGATTGTTTTAGAGATCAAATGAATATGAGTACAGCTTTTAAAGTTCTTAAGTGCTATTAAATGCTAATGGTTACTCATACAAAGAGATTCAGTTCTTCACTCGACACAGTTAGTGATCCTCAGAATTCTAAGGTTATTCTCCTCTCTTCAACAAAAGCTCCCATTAGCCTATAAGGCATTTTCAAGTAATACATATATCATTGATAATTTTAGCTATAAAACAGAGGTTACCAAAATTTTTCAAAAAACCAAGATAGTACATCTTTACTAGTATATATTTTGCAATAAGTCTATTACTTTATTTAACGCTGCTGATACTGTAATGCAAAAGCAGTAGTAGACCCTATTCAAACAAATGAGCATGACCATGTTCCAATACAACTTTATATGGACATTTCAATTTGAGTTGCATAAAATTTTCACATGTCAAAAATATTATTCTGATTACCACTATCCTGATTTTCTTTAACCATTTAAAGACATAAAACAAACAAAAACAGTCTATCTCATGAGCCAAACAAAAACAATCAATGGGCCAGATTTGACATGCTGACTAGTTTGTCAACACTTACCAAATCCTTTATCTTTATTTTCAAGTTTGTCAGCAGTACTACCTGCCTCCCAGGCCTGTAATCTTACTTTCTTTTTTTATTTAAAGTTCTCTCCTTTTATCTATCCCATTCTGTTAGGCACAATGTTTGTCCATTTTATCACCAGTACTTTTATCACATTCACCTCTTTCTTTGTATTTCTATTACTATTATACAAGCTCAGATCTTAATTTTCTCTTTCATTTTCAATCCTTCTGTCTTGCTACCACTTGATTGAACCTGTCTTTGATAAGACTGTGCAATTCTTCAGCCTAAAACATACCTTTTCATGTCTTCTTATTGAATAAAGGCCATAAATTCCTCAAATATCACCATTAAATTTAAAGTAGAAAATTCACATAGAAAATTTCCCAAACCATAAATGTACAATTGAACAACTTTTATAAATTGAGTGAATCCATGTACTAAGCACCCAAATTTAAGAAACACAAAAATTAGCAGCATCCCAAAGGCCTCCATGTATCTTATGGCCACTATCTCTCAAGAACAATCACATCATCACCTGTATTTCTAAAGCTATAGATTTTCCTGTTTCTGAACCTTATAAAAATGGAATAGTAACAATACTCTTGTACCTGGCTTCTTATGTCCAGCTTTTATATATTTGAAATACATCTATAATTGATGCATGTAGTTACAGTTGGTTTATTCTCATTGCTATATACAGACAGTATTCCACTTTGTGAAACATAAAACCATTTACTTATC